ATAATTTATATTATATTTTCACTTATTCTAATATAACATTATTCGTAGTACAATTAACACGTAAAAAAATGTACACTTTTGTATTCCTTAACACCACCTATTAAGTGAAAATATAGAGTTTGGAAGTCAACCAACATCTGTAAATTATAAAACAAAAAAAGAGTAATTAAATCAATAAACAATTATGAGTTATAAATTAATTAATAAAAAAAGTTTGATTTAAAATGAAATTGCATATCTAAAGAAGGATTTTGAAGGGTAGAAATAGAAATGAAGTAGAGGAAGAAAATGAAGAGTAGTAATAGTGAAGGTGGTATACATGATATGATAATATATAAAATAACATGTAAATAAATAAATATAATATATATATATATATATATATATAGAGAGAGAGAGAGAGAGAGGTGAGTTATTATATAATCATTTACATTTGTACAACCAATACAACTAAATTTCAACCGTCCATTTAATTTAATGAATATGTATATTCATATAAGTTTTGATTGTTTCATAATATAAAATATTAATCATAATAAATGAACCTTATTCATCTTCCATAAATATTTAAATCATAATAAATGAACTCTCATCATTTTCATAAATATTTCAATTTATTGGGTTGCATTGGTCGTACAAATGTGATGAATTGCATTTGAAATAAACTCTCTCTCTCTCTCTATATATATATATATATATACTAGAATGATACTCGCATAATATAGCGATATACATCTCGATTTTGATGTTTCATTTTATATTTTTTGGTCTATCGACGTTATAACGTGATTTTTGAGAAAAATAAAATATATTTTTTTAATAAAATATAAATTTAAAGATATTATAAAAAACGATATTAGTATCAAATTAACTATCTAAAATAGTTAATTCTATTTTTTATTATAAATTAATTGAAGTTTAAAAACGAATTAATTTATTTTTGATTTAATAAAATAGTTTTTAAAGACAATAATTAAGTATTTTGTTAGAACTCAATAATTATCCTAATTATATTTAAGATATCTTATAATTAAAATGAGATATTTATCCTTTAAGATTATGTTTATCTGCAGTTAGTTACACGAATTCAAACATGAAGCTTTAATAAGTTGTACTTACGCATAATTTACTTGTAGTCTTGAAATTTAAGTAATGTGCATTAATAAATAGTACTTCGTGCATAAAAAATTGTTTTTAAGAGTTTTTGTCAAATATTTTATAATATAGTGTATATATATATATATATATATGTATGTATATATATAGGGTTGAGTTCACGTGAGACCAAATTATTTTACTTGATCAACTTTATAAGCTAATGATCTGGTCTAAAGTTACACGGTGGCAATTTTGTGATTATTGAAAAATCTCATGGCAATTTTGTGATTATGAATGTTCAGATTGTAGATCTAAATCTAAAGATTGAGAATTGGTCTTACAAGTCTCATGAAAAACTCTTGATCTCACGTGATCCCAAGTCTATATATATATATATATATATATACACACACATATATATAAAGTAATATGTAGATAATGTACGATAAATTAATATAATAATAATATAATAAATGCTAATATATAAAACCAAAAGTATGAAATAAAAAATAACACAAAAATAATAAAACAATATGTATTTTTCTAATACTGGAAGGTTACTCGTGCAATACATCGAGATACATCTTGATTTTAGTATTTCGTTTTATTCATTTTTTATGTTGATACAATACGGTTTTATGTGGTTTTGAGAAAGGAAAATTGCACTAAAATGGAATCAACTTTCACCTAATTCCTATTTTGCGGAACCAACTTTCAAGATCGTCATTTTGGGGAACCAACTTGCACCTGATTTCTATTTTGGGGAACCAACTTGCAAAATAATTATAGAAAAATAACTAAAATTTGTTTTTTTCCAAAAATTAATATGATAAAATCTATTTTTTATTTCAAATCTCGTTTTTTTATTATAATTCATATATCAAATTGAACATTTAAAAAAAATCAAAATTACCACAATAAAAATTATTTTTTACTAATGCAAAAAAATCAATTTAATAGAAAAAATTAATTGATGCAATAAAAACTAAATATTTAGGGGTCTCTATCAAACTTTTTGTGCATCAATTTTTTTTTTTTAAATTGATTTTTTTTGCATTAGTAAAAAACAACTTTTATTGTGGTAATTTGGTTTTTTTTTAAATGTTCAATTTGATATMTGAATAATGTTTTTATTTTTGAATAAAATATAAATTTAAAAATATTATAAAATTTTGAAAAAAAATATATTGATATCAGCATCAAATTAACATTTTTTAAAGTTCTTGTGTTTTAGTGTAATTTCTTTAATTCAATTTTTTAATTATA